TGTGTGTGTGTGTGTGTGTGTGTGTGTGTGTGTGTGTGTGTGTGTGTGTGTGTGTGTGTGTGTGTGTGTGTGTGTGTGTGTCATGCCGTCAACAATGTCCACGAGCACTGTTGCGTGGGCGACAACAGCCTCAACAGGAATGTGGGTGACAACACAAAACTGTGGATGTTGACGCCCACAACCTCACTTTAAAGCAGACGTCCTTGGCCTTCGCCTCCGTGCCTCCCTCTTTTTTTGGGTGAAAAATGAGAAAAAAAAAAAGACTGGCCGTGTCCCCGCGGGCCTCAGCGTGGCACCCACTGCCGCGGCCCAGGGCAGTTTCGGAGGGCCTCCAAAACTGCCCTGGGCCGCGGCAGTGGGTGCCAGGCTGAGGCCCGCGGGGACACGGCCAGTCATTTTTTTTTTCTCATTTTTTCACCCCAATTTTTTTTTTTTTAATTTTTTCAACAGCACAGCACCACACCCACTGACCTGTTCCAACACCCCAACCCCTTAACCCCCCCCCAACACCCCCCCACAGACCTGTAGCACGCTCGTACGGGGAGCGTCCGTACGGTCATACGAGCGTATGAACGTCCGTCCGTACGGCCCGTACGGGGACCCCCCGTACGACGTACGGGCGACGACATAGGGTTGGGGCCAGGTGGCACGTCTATGTCAGTCGTATCCATACTGACCCGCTGAAAGGGCCGTTCTACCTCCGTTGGAACTATCGTGTCCGGCCCTCGAAGGGGCACGCGGTCGGCAGCACAGACTAGACAGTTAGCGACCACGTGCTTCACATCATCACGGATATTAGACCAGAACCATCGATTCTGATCGATAGTTGCCTCGGTGACGCGTATCGCAAAATGAGTGACCTGTTCCTCGTGCGCGGACCTAGTCCAGTCATATCTCTGAAAAGGATGGGGAACCGTCAACCATAGTCCCGATCCGTCAGTTTTATGCTTTTCTAGGTGACCGTTGATCCATCGGTAATCCCGAGATCTCTCGGTAGCCCGACGCCTGTCATGCTTAGTGAGATGGTCCAAGGGTAATCCAGCCAGCTTAGCCAATAGGATTTTATCCGTCCAGACCTCCGCTCGTCGGTATTTTTCGTCGTATTCAGGGCCGTCTGTACGGGCAGCCTCGAATCGAATCTTAGTAGGTAGTTTGTCCGTCCTACACAGAGGGCATTTCCATTCCCTACTACTTGTTCCATATCGAACACATGCACCGTGTGCATGATTGACACACGTGGGACAGTTTACCCACTCAACGAATCCGGTCTCAAAAGGATGACAATTCACCCCATATACCCGTGTGATACACGTGCAAAAATAGCAGAATCTGTCGGGAAGGGTGGCAAAGAAGGCCGAACTGGCGAGAGGGCCGGAATCAGCGGGGGAAGAAGGGGTCGCTGAGACAGGTGGGGTAGCCATTATGAGAGAAGGGGGAGAGAGAGTGATCAGGGTTGCAGAGAGGTCAGAGCGAGGCTACGTGTCACTCACTCCTTTGACAAAATTTCGACCTGTCTGCATCGTGGTCCGTTTTCCTCCGGCTCGTTCCACGGAATCACTTCTTCGCTCTTGAGGACTTTCTCGGGTCTATGTATTCTTGTCAACTCGTCAGCATTCCCGTGCCTCTCGTGCTTCCGATGACCGATGTCGAAGTCCATGCTCTACAGGATGGTGGCCCATCGTCCGATCATGCCCGAGTAATCTTGGATTTCTTCAGCGCCAACAACGGTTCGTGATCGGTTACCAATGTAAACTTTCGACCGTACAGATATGCTCGGAAGTGGTTGATCCCCCATAAGGCTGCGTAACATTCTCCCGTCGGGGCCGTGTGGTTGTGCTTGCAGGTCGGCACCGTCTTAGATGCGTATTCCACCACGTGTTCGAGACCGTCGGGTCCCACCTGAGCCAAGATTGTGGAAATCACCTCCGGTTGCCAATCGGTTATGAGAACAAAAGGCTTCCCTAGGTCCGGCCTTATGAGAACTGGGGCCGAAATCAGGGCCGCCTTGAGTTCTCCGAAAGCCCGATCGCACTGCGGGGTCCACATCAAAGGTTGATCCTTTTTCAGTAGATTCGTGAGTGGTCCCGCGATCACTACAAATCCCTTGACTAACCTTCGATAGTACGACGCCAAGCCCAAAAAGGCGCGGACCTGCGTTATGGAAGTTGGTACAGGCGCGTCGTTCACCGCTGTCACCTTCTGGGGATCTGGCTGCAACCCCTGGCTCGTGACGACGTGGCCGAGGAAGGAGATCTCCGTGAGAAAAAACTGGCATTTTTCAACCGTCACCTTGAACCCTGCGTCCTTGAGTGCGTGTAGTGCCCATTCAATGTGCTGCACGTGTCCCTCATAGGAAGTAGAGAACACAAGGATATCATCCATATACACAATCATACAGTAGTTGATTATGCTTTGCGCCAGCCGCATTTTTCGTACGAAATTCTGGAAAGCCATATTCATCGCGCGCTGAAACGTGGCTGGGCATTGCAAATCCCTATCGGACATCTAACCCATTGCCAAGTTCCTTCGAAAAGAATGAACGACATTTTCGGGCGGTCTTCTTTTCGAACTAGAAGATGGTGGGATCCATGTCGGATATCACATTTGCTAAAGAATCGAGCACCACCAATAGCATCCAACAATTCATCAATCCGAGGAAGAGGATACACATCTTTAATCGTGATATCGTTCAGTTTTCGGTAATCAATACAGATGTGAATCCCTCATGCTTTCTTTGACACAATCACTATTGGAAGCGACCATGGTCCGATAGCGGGCTCAATCCAACCATTAGCTTCGAATTCCTTGATTCTCTTAAACGCGGCGGCTCTCTGCGCCGGTGAGTATCGATACGGAGCGCAACTGATGGGTGGATGATCCCCTGTAAGGATCGCGTGCTCAATTACAGTAGATAGCTCGATATCGCTGTCATCCATACTCAATACGTCAGTATAGCCATGCAATATGTTAATCAGGGATTCTCGGACATCCTTAGGGACATGATTGGGAATGACGATTATCGTATTATTTCTCGAGCTCAGAGGCGTGTCAATCCACTCCAATCTTTGCGATCGCCTGTTGTGGACGCTGGAAAACATTGAACTGCTAGTTCGGACCGAAAAGACGGTAGCGATCATCTGTGATTCTGCGGGACTGATCATTTCAGTTTCTTTAATTTCGGCGTCTGTTTCAGGGTCATCGATGCTTTTGACTATCTCGATTCCCGTTAATTTTGTCATTTCCTGCATGAGATCCGGAACGTCGGTGATCGGGGCTTCCGCCTTTTCTTTGATCAGGGCGATCACGGCTCCTTGCGTGAGTACTGATCGGGGAGGGGAGACAGAGAGATCCAAGTATTGGCTCATCTGCTGATACCTCGCTCAGAGGGACAATGTGCCCTCGTATAATGTGCGAGGGGGTTCCAAAAGATCGGCTATGTCTGAGATTTGCAAGATCGGTTCTCCCAAAAAAGGTCGTGAGGAGAGTCTGATTTTCCGTAGGTAAGGGACGGCTGGAGTCGCTGTTACCCGAACTTAGATCGAACGCTTGAATTGTTGCAGGAATC